CCATATATAGTATGAAAAATAGGAGGCGTCTCTGTGTGGTGTTCATAAAGGATTTTGATCAGTGTAGCTGGCCTTTGGGAGCCAATGTATATTAGAGAGGCTGCAAATAATAGAGGCACTCCATTAGGGGAAAGACCCCCTAGAACGTAATACAGAATGATAACCCTTGCATGGAATTTTTGGATCATCCTATAGAATTCACTACTGAATTCTGTCCCTGCTCCAAAATTCTACAGAATGGTTCAGGATTCAAAGGATTTCATTCTCTATTAAATCCTATAGGGTTTTTGAGTCATTTCTGAAGAACTGTGTTACATTTCTATAATATCCTGCTGGCTTCATCCCTATTTAGCTTGATAGGACTTTTCCATTAGTGATGATGTCTTTGGAGCTATTGAGAAACTCTGTGGTTTGTTTTTGTCATTTGGTCTGCTTACACCTTAGGTAAAAGTCTCCCTCAAACATCATCCTTTTCATTTAGGGCCCAATCTTCACCTTGAATCCAATGTGTTTTTTGCTATGGAGCCCAATTTTCCCAATGGAAGCTGGATCAGGCCCTTGATGTGTTCTGAGTGGCGGGGCAAGGAAGTGGAAAAGAGACTAAACTTGTCCCGAATCTTTCTCTTCCTAGTATTTTTGAGTTACTGTCTGGTATGCCCATGGCCCACTGTAGTCTCCCCATCACTGCTGCGGTTGAATCTGAGATCTGCCATATCTCTACGCAGGAGAAGAGGCAGTAGCTGTTCACATGGTGCGCTGGCAATCAGTCCACAAAGGGGCATTGGTGTTCTCCTATAAGAGAGTTACTTTCCTAAGCCTCCTGGCCCAGAGACAAATTGCTACTCTGGAGTTGTGGAGGATTACGAATTAAAGAGCAAAGAAGGAATCCATGCTGGACAGCTTTTTCCTGGGGTGGGGTGGGGGGAGAATAACACTCACTATCAGGGCCTGATATCACACAAGCGTATGCTCATGGCTGGGAGATGGGAAGTGGTGGTATTGGAATGAGGGAGGCAGAGAATGGAAAAATGGAAAAAGCTAAAAATGATTTACACAGTTGGTGTAAATCAATGTATCTCCACTGACTTCTATGCTGATTTACAACAGCTGAGGATTTGACCATATGGTTTTTAAGTAAAAACACCAAGGGTGAAGTCCTGGTCCCACTGAAGTCAAGAGAATTTTCCCACTGATTTCATTAGGGCCAGGATTTCACCCCATAACGCCACTAACTCAAACCTGGATGTGTTTATTAGTAAGTTCTAAAGTAACAGTCACACACAAGAAAGCCGATCCCAGAATTTCCATTTTTGCTCTTTAAACACTTATTTTATTTCCTGCTAGATTCGTTTTAAATATGAATGTTAACATAAAATATTCCAGTCATGACTGGATTTGTTAAATCTAGTCATGATTGACCCCTTCTGCCAGCCATGCTTTGAGGTTATAAAGATTAATGGTTAAGCTCTGCCAGAAAGAAAAAAAAAGGTAATGGGAACACATATTTTAACAGAGATTTTTTAAAACCTCCATCTCCCATATAAACCATCTCTTCTTCCTCTCAGTTACCCCTAATAACTCACAATTCTCTGTTCAGAGACACTGTAATAATCCCCCATAGCAGCAGGTTCTGATTTTCCAGATGGAAGATTAAGCACTCTTGATCCACACACAGAAGAGAGAGAAAATCTCCATGATGGGGGAAGGATCCTGGTTAGAGGGAAAAAAAGCTGATTTTCAGCAACAAAAAGACACCCAGGAACAAAAGAGTCTGGATAACATGAGACTGACATAAGATTCTTTTAAATGAGCATGACCTCACACCAGTGTGAATCAGGAGTAACTCCACCCAAACTAGTGAGGTTACACCAGGATAAAACTAGAATAAGTGAGATCAGGATCAGGTCAGATGTGTCTGAAGCTTGCCTGTGTATCCATGTTCCCCTTCAAGTCCAAAGGGCTTTGCATGCACAAACTATACAAAAGCACAACTTTACATTGAGCTTCCAAACTGCACAGTACATTGAGAAGTGATAAAACAGCCGTCTCTCCCTTCCACACACATTGATTATTAAACACGTTTACTGAAGATTGACAGCTACGCCAACACTGATTTGTGAAAGTAAAGACATTTTTGTTTAAAATGTGCGTTATAAATGACAAAAAAAGGCCTTTTTGTGCTTCTCTCTGATACATAAAGCAGGTTGGAAGGGCTTTTGGTGTTTGAAAATGTGCTTGGGTTATATTTGGTTGGTTGGGGGGGGTTTCAAATCAGGAAATCAGGTCCTATCTAGGCTTGAAGACACTACAAGTACTAATGAAGTGGTGACATCAGGAGGTTAATGAGGACCAAAAGCTCACAGAGTAGGACAGTACTGTACGTAATAGCAAACGTACAGCTTTGCCAAGACAGTATGGGGTTAATGTTAGAGGGACAAGTGTGTATTTTGTAATTAAAAGTTGCTGTTTCTTACAAGGGTACGTCTACACTTACCTCTGGGTCCGTCGGCAGGCAATCGATGTTCTGGGATCAATTTATCGCGTCTGTTCTAGACGCGATAAATCGATCCCGGATCGATCCCGGAAGTGCTCGCCGTCGACGCCGGTACTCCAGCTCGGCGAGAGGAGTACGCGGCATCGACGGGGGAGCCTGCCTGCCGCGTCTGGACCCACAGTAAGTTCGAACTAAGGTACTTCGAATTCAGCTGCGTTTTTAACGTAGCTGAATTTGCGTACCTTAGTCTGAAGTGGGGGGTTAGTGTGGACCAGGCCCAAGATTCTTCTACTAGGCTGCTTTTACCCACTGGTAAGCCAAAGAGTTCTTGACATCTTCTTTTCTAGGAAACCTAATCCTCTGCCCATAACCCCATGCCAACGTTTTTGAGGAAGCCTGGAGTACTTCAGGCATCACTGTTTGACTTGGTTGGCGTAATGCTAACCAGGAAATGAGTGGCAAAGACCCAGCAAAACGAGATGAAGCTCCTTGCTTTGCTGCACAATTCTCTACTTGAAGAGTAGTTCATTCTGCAAACAAACTGAGTCTGGTGGTTTAGGAAGTTTGCCACACTTGATCCAGCAACTACGACACTGAAGGTTTGTTCGGAATGGAAAGCTACTGTGTACGTTTTCAGTCTTTTCCAGTGTCGAGTCCCAGACACTCTGAAACCTGAAAAATTAAAACAAATGATAGTGACAGCTCCCGTGGTAAAGCGGCAGCAATCCAGCATATCCCTGCTAAAGGCGGAATTCCCCTGGTTTCGTGTCAGTGTCAGGCTTCTGACTGAATCAGTCGTCTGTGTGAGAAATCCTTGTACAGAGTTCTAACTGATTGATGATCCAGGCTTCCTGTTCTTTATCTGCCGTTTGAGAATTCAAATAAGATTAGATGATCATGACAAACTGAAAAGCTAATGAAAACATGAATGAGTCCAGACTGCAGGCATTCCGCGTTCCTACTAGGAATACGGGGTTGTCCTGAGGCTGAGTGGAGTCTTACGGTAACAGAGCTTACAGATGGTGAGCTATACTTATGGTGTAAGTCACCACAACACCTTTTATGTCAATGAATCTACACTGATTTATTCCAGCAAGAGATCTGGCCCCAGTATCCAGCCTGCCTCCTCTTCCCCTCCCCTCTCCCCCCACCTTTGCTCTTCAAGGCTCAATCAGGCAACTTTTCCTCAGGTAAGTAGTGCCATTTCAGTCCATAGGATGATTTGACTGACTATTGCAGGACTGAGCCCTGTGTCACAGGTTGATTATCAAATGGTGTTGTGAACTCCACTAATCTGATTCATAATGAATCACAGCCATGGGGTAGTGGTACAGTGATCAGCACATGGTTATGACCCCACAAACCTACTTTAACTCAGAGTACAAAATCATCCTAATTAGATGATGCCACTGGAATATGAAAAGGACTATTTAAAAAAAAACTTTCACTTTTGCACATTTGTCTGGGATTCATTTTAATCACAAATCTGCCTGGAAAAAAACCACTGTTTCCTACTTTGAAAACAAACAAAATCAGTGAGTTTTCATTTCAGATGTTAATTTGGGTTTGGAAACCAAACCATCTGGGCCTAAGTTCTGTTTTCTCTTTCAACCCCCCATTTGCTTTCACTGCGCCGTGACGTGTTCTGTTCAGCGAAGTGTCTGAAGAAGGACTGCATGAGCTTGGATGGAGACACACACCTTTGCCTAGGCTACTTTGACTATTGTGGAGGCCAGGCACTCTTGCGTTTTAATCCTGGCTCGGTCACTGATATGCTGTGTGACCTGGGGCAAGTCATTTGGCTTTGTGCCTTAGAGTCCCCATTCATAAAATCGGAATAATAATGCTTACCTGTCTGCCACCCAGGGGGTTTGTGAGGGTTAATTAGTATTTCTAAAGCATTTTGACTATGGAAAGTCTTTTATTAATGCCACGTATAATTATAGAGACAAGGTGGGTGAGGTAGAGACTGGTGAGAAGCATCTGAGCTACACAGAGGTCTTCTTCAGGTGTGGGAAACTAAGAGTGTCACTGCAAAATACAAAATGGAACAGATCGTTTAGCACATTTTAACTACTTATGCTAAACAATCTGTTCCACCTTGTATGAAGCAGTGGCCCTTTGAGTATGTTTCCCAGACCTGAAGAATTCTACATAAGCTTGAAAGCTTGCCTCCCGCATCAATGGAAGTTGGTCTAATAAAAGATATTACCTCACTCACCTTGGTTTTCTAATATCCTGGGTCCGACACATCCACAACAAACACCGCATACACATATAATTATGAGAGTAATAATGTGTACTTCTGCTGGGTTTGTTTGGCTCACATTTTTTTTGACACTCCACAGTTGGAGACCTTCCCAGATTTCCCCTCTCCCCAACTTTGTGAAACAAGACTTTCACTGAAACAAGACTTATAGCTATGCCCAATACACACACACACCCACACATACACACTAAAGAGAAGAAAAAAGAAAGACAGGGATTGGTCCAGCACCAAGCATACCTGTAGGAGAAAATCAAAGAGCGCCAGTTTGGCCCACTCTGTGTGCAGGACACTCAAACACGGAGCTATTCCGAGGGCTGCCCTGGAATCTGCCATGCCACACCGCTGCTGCAGCAGAGACTGGTACTGTAGCCACCCCAGTGCAAAGGAGTTCTGGTCATTGTTGGCATCATCTAGGTGCTGGATATCAGGCACCCACCATATGATGGGCCTTGCGGCACCATTGGTGTATTTGTAGGGCAGCAGGGGACTGTTGAATTTGCGGGCCACTGCAGGCAGACTCCTATTCAGCCCCAACACTCTGTCCAAGTGGAAAGCTAGCACCTCATAGAGGTCACTGGGCCGCTTTATTAATCCACAGAGCCCATCGGAACAGTCTCGTTTAGGGTCAGATGGGGAAGTGTCTTGGCTGGCCAAAAGGCTGACTCTGAGTATTTGTCCGTGGGCAGGAATTCTGGTTTTGGTCACCACTTCGCTATTTGCCAGCCATTTCATCTTCTGCACATCGTCTGCAGTAAACCAAGGTGGGATCCTCTCACCAAACCTCAGGCGGCCCTCCCATTTGGCAGAAAGGGCATCTTCTGGAGTCTTCACACACCATTCAGATGTCTGTAACTGCGTGGCCACACCCACCCAGAAATGAGCTCCTGGCTCTCCAGGCCCCTGGGAGTAACTGCCTGTCTGTCTCTGCGTGCCTGCTGCACCTTTGAAGGGCAGCCTGCTATCTGCTTCCGAGATAAAGGCCTTAATCGAATCTGAATGCTGCGGCTCAGCGCCAGCTGCCTGCACATCTGGTTTGCATTGGTCCTGTGCCACAGTTGGCTGGCTTGCAAAAGAGTTCTTAAGAAGTAAAACAAACTCCGGCTTTCCTTCCTGAAAACTCCTTTTATTGCTGAGTGAAGGAGAAAAGAAAGGGGCCTCCTCCATTTGTGGTTTCATATCTGCCTTTTTCCCTGTCAGCTTATAGAAATGAACATTGTTCCCTGTATTCTTTAGAGAAAAATGAGTATTAAGCTCCCTTTTCTTCTCACCACTGGTCCTGCAGGGAATGTTTTCATGCTGTAATTTACTGCTGGCTTCAGAGCTTTTCACAACGTTATGTTTCCTAATCTCTCCTTTGTGCTTTCTCTTTCCTTTCAGCAGTGTGTGGTTTTGTCGGCGCAGGCTGCTTGGCTGGTTCTTTGGCTTGCAGGCAGAGTGGGGATGGTGTGAGGATTGCCTTTCCTGATCAGTGCCAGGGGGAGCGGGTTCCCATTCTCTGTGGTCAAAGCTTCTGGCCCGCCGGGGGACAGAGGCAGTGGTGTTTGTCCACAGACGCCTGGGCCGGATGACTTTCCCATGTGGCTCAGCTAGTGCCAAGAACTGGAAATCGGACTCAGTTGGAAACAGCAGAGGAAAACTAGTAAATGCCACCACAGAGAAGGCAAGCAAGAAGCAGAATCCAGCCACAGGTGGTCTCTTCAGCCTCATTCTTCTCCATGTTCTCTGAGCCTGTGGAGTCAGAAAGGACAGCCTTATTGACTGCATCACGGGGGATAGCTAGAGCTAGGGCAGAAGCTGTCTTCATGAAATGTATTGGCCTGCAGGAAGTTGGGTTGATCAGTGCAAATGGTATCTGTAGATCATATTGTGTTAGCACTCGCTAAGGCTCCAGTTCAGCTCCCACTAATGCCAGTAGAAAACCCCCAATGACATCAATGGGAACAGAACTGGGCTGTGATGTAACTCCATGGGCTTCACCAAGGCTGAATTTGGCCTGAAGAGTAGAAGAAAGTGAAAAAGGCAGAGATTTTAATTAAAAGGGCAATTGTGCAGCATCCTGGCCATTGCAAAACATGCCTCACTGAATCACCAGCAGACTGATCATGTCTTATTGTTGGGGACAGTGGACGAGCAGGAGAGTTTAAAGGAACATCTGGACAGACATAGATTACCAGTGTATAAGGAATGTTCCTCAGTGGTGGATTTGCTAATATTGCAGGACTTTGGTCTGTATTTACCATATCCCTCTATATCTCTGCCTCGTCTCTGTCTCATTCTAGTTTTGTATAGATTCATACAGCCCAAGGCCAGAAGGGACCACTGTGATCACCTAGTTTGACCTCATGTGTAACACAGACTATAGAACTGCCCCCAAAATAATGCCTAGAGCAGATCTTCTTGAAAAACATCCAATCTTGACTTAAAAATTGTCAGAGCTGGAGAATGACTCTTTGTAAATTGTTCCAATGATTACTTACTCTCACTATTAAAAACTGGACACCTTATTTCCAGTCTGAATTTGTCTACTTCAACTCCCAGCCACTGAAAGTTGTACCTTTCTCTACTAGATTGAAGAGCCCATTATTAAATATTTGTTCTTTATGTAGATACTTATAGACTGTAATCAAATTACCCCTTCACCTTCTCTTTGTTATGCTAAGTAGACTGAGCTCCTGGAGTCTATCACTCCAAGGCAGGTTTTCTAATCCTTTAATCATTCTTGTGACTCTTCTCTGAACACCTCTCCAATTTTTCAACATCCTTCTTGAATTGTGGACACCGGAACTAGACACAGTATTCCAGCAGCAGTCACAGCAGTGCCAAATACAGAGGTAAAATAACCTCTCTACTTCTACTCAAGATCCCCCTGTTTATGCAACCAACAATTGCATTAGCCCCTTCGGCCACAGCATCGCGCTGGGAGCTCATGTTCAGCTGGTTATCCACCGTGATCCCCAAATCTTTTTCAGAGTCACTGTTTCCCAGGATAGAGCCCCTCATCCTATAAGTATGGCCAGCATTCTTGGTCCCTAGATATATACATTTACATTTAGCCATATTAAAATGCATTGTTTGTTTGTGTCCAGTTTATCAAGAAATCCAAAGCGCTTTGTATCGGTGACCTGTCCTCTTCATTATTTATCCCTCCCCCAACTTTTGTGTCATCTACAAACTTTCAGTGATGATTTTATGTTTACTGCCAGGTCATCAGTAAAAATGTTAAATAGTGTAGGGCCATGAACCGCTCCCTGTGGGACCCCACTAGCAACACATCTATTTGACGATAATAACCCATTTACAATTACATTTTGAGACCTGTCAATCAGTCAGCTTTTAATCCATGTAATGTGTGCCCTGTTAATTTTATATCTTTCTAGTTTTTTAATCAAAATTTCATGTTGCCCCATGTTCCAGTGCACACCCTATGTTTTGCTAAGTTGGCTCACCTTCTTGTTCCTGTTACAGCCTTCTCCCACAAGAAGCCCCACACCTTTATTTTTTATGCTGTCTATCACACCTGAACATCCTCTTTGGCCTCTGTGCCTCATAACCTCACCCGCTTCCTTCAAACACCACCTAAAAATACTCGTCTGAGCCTTCCTTTGCGCATCTCCACTCTCACCCTCTTTCCTGGCTCTGTCCTCAAATTTTAGTATCATTAAATAAATGTAAAATAAATCTGTGTTTGAAAAAATGAATAAAAAGGAACGAATAGGATGGGCATGTAACAAAGAGCATGCCACATTTTTACTTGCCTACGGCACCCTTTAAATAATAAGCAATGGGTGGTGAATTTAAAACCGTATGTACTGTTAGCCCATAATATTTCTATTATGATTAGTAATATGTTAGCACTTAGGAGCCCAGTTGTGGACCGGGAGCCCATTGCACTAGGCACTGTACGGACACAGTACAAAAAGGCTCAATAAATTGTAAACAGCCTAAAAATGTTTGTGTCGGGATATCAGAAAATTAACCCAAGCAATTGAGCAATTCTACTACTTACTCCCTAGGCAGATTTCTACTGCATTTAACTTTGAGTCTTTGGTGCTGTACCCAGATATTCCCTGCCCCTTACCAAGCAACGTATCACATCTCCTCAAACTGGTTTCCCTCTGTGAGCTGTGCAGCAAGTTGGCTACAGCAATTAAGTCCTCAGTGACGTGTGCTTTTTATTCAGCCGTGGGTCCCTTCAGCAGCATCTTTAGCAAGCTGGCCCCTCTCTGCTCATCATACCCAGACAGTAAATAAGAAGGAAAGCTCACACCCACCGATTTACTTGACAGTGTCTCCCCCTGAGTGCTGTATTTAGTCCTACAGTTGCCCAGATGAAGGGGCAGCATAGCAGGAACCAAACTGTGACTCGGTCACAATTCAGTCCCTGCTTCCCCCTTGCTCCATAGGAGGAGTAAGCTATGGCAGTCCCTTTCCTGGAGCAGCATGCTCCCCCCTCCACGCGGGCTCGGCTGGTCTGAGCACCATGACGTGTATGAGAGGGGGAGTAGGAGACCCCGGGAGGCTGCTGTTGTGACTCCAACGCCGATAGCCAACACAAAAGC